TTTAATTATTTTCAAATACATGTAATTCATGCCGACTTTTATTTATAATTACGATAATTATGTTCAAGTCTTTTTAAGCCTGTATCAGACTACGGATTGAGATTGGATTGAAATTATTCTGATTGAAAGTTAATCAATCAGAATAAAGAAAACTATCTCAAGTTTAGTGATCGAACTTTGCTCTAATTAGTCTTTCAATCTAATCTTAATCCCAATCCGTAGTCTGATACTTTAGCTTCATTTCGCGAACTTAAGATATGCATCAATGTATCGTAAATTTTTTCATCGTTTGTATTTTATTTAAAAAAGTATAATACTTAATTTTTATTGTACAATACATGTAATTGTGTAATTTACGCGGACTTTTATTTATAATTACAATGATATTTATGTCTTTTTACTTTATAGTTTCATTTTTCGAACCTGAGATATATGCATTATTCTCGATATATGTGTCGTAGAACTATTTTATTTGTATTTTACATAGACGGTAGAATTCTTAATTTTGACTTCACAATATGTGCAATTGTGTAATTTATTTCAATTTTTGTTTATATTTATTGAAATATGCATCGATATATATTCACGGTTCGTATTCTCTGAAATATTATGGTCAATAAACGACTTGTTATATACTTGGCGATACTAACTACGCCATCTTGTGTCGCAGCATTCAGATTGCAACAGCATTCGCGCAATGTGGCGGCCTCTGCACAAGTCAAGTGGAAACATTTGTTCTACTTCCAGGAAAAGTATTGACCAGTCCTAAAATTAGCATTTATGCATTCTGTTTAATTTTAATTTTTACATGGATTTTTTAATAAAACAAATGATTCTTTGGAAAGTTTTATCTATTACTGTTTACTATTATTATTATTTATAAATTAATATTCTATTTAAATTACAATTTAATACAAAAACATTTATTAAGATAAAATTCCGAAAACTGTTCCCGCTTTAATTATTTTGACAATTCTGGGTTTCTAATTATATCAATATAATAAAAAATGCTGCGAGGATATCAAGGACATTATGCAATTCATTAACGAATCCATCCTTTAACGAAATAAGATATGCTGAGAAAAATAATAGTTGCAAACGATCACAATCAGATATTAGAATGTTCTTCGTTCGCGACATCTTTTTGTCATTGCAGCGCCTTTTCTCGCAACAATTTAACTTCGTCGAGTGCTGCGATCAATTTGCATGATCTACGATCCCGAACGCGATCGTACACGACTCTCAATTATTTACCTAAGTTCGCGACGATCCCCTCTCGCCAGGCGTAGTCTCTAAAGACGACTCGCACGCGGCACGCAATTAACGTCCACAAGCTGCTTAATAATATAACGGTCAATTTGCCGCGATTAGTCGGCGTAATGATAGCTCCCCCGGATAATTTATTGTTAATTATTCCCGGCCGCGATACCCTCGTATACGTATATGTCCGTCAGGCGCCGACAACTAAATTGACAACTAATTGAAATATTGCTCGCGCCAGTAATAAGAGGAAAAATTATCTCACCGCCACGGAGTAATGTTAGAGTCCGCGCAAGTACTTAAACTCCTCCTTCTTCGTCTTGCCTTGTTCTCTTCTACCCTTTCGCTTAATCCAGCGTCGCCGTTTTCACATAGATTTTTTTTTACAGAAAAACGGTGATATTATCGAGATTAGATTATCCGATTAATAGTCACTTCGATAATTTGCCATAAATATTAATTTGAAAAATAAAATATACCGTTCGATTAATTGCGGCTGTTTAAATACAATTATAGATTAAATTATATTCAATTTTACGCAGTTCCGAATCTCTCGCTGCGAAGGCGCCGTATAATGAACTTTAATGGCCACTTTAAAAGCCTTGGATTGCTTGCGAATAAGTTATTATTCAATGTAGAAGAATCGAGAGTTTTTGAGAGATAGAGGGAATTGTGACGTATACAATTACATTACGTTCAATTTCAGAAAATAAACTACAAATCCAAGATTACTTCGGCTGTCATATATTTCTTAGCAATTTAATTTGCATAACGCATAAAGTCTACTTTACTAACGAATAATATAGTTTAATGATTCAGTGAAAGGAAATACAATTACGCAGGACGAGATCAGTAAAATCCCAGATATCCTTTTCACGTTTTAATATTTATAATTTTTTACTTTCAGCGAATTTTTCAGATGTTTGTAAAATTCTTCTTTTGCGAAATCTTACGTTTATGCAATCGTCGAAGCCAATGATTCGAAGGTTTTGCTCGCTCCTCGTCCTTCTCCCTTTCTCAGGATGCAGCGAAGGCCAAGAAAAAGCCGACGGAGCTGGCATTACACAAGGTGCGCATAAAGTCCCATGAATTATCGCGTGGCTCGGCGCGCTCGGCGAGCGCAGCGGACTTACGTGTTCGGAGAAGCAATGCTCCTGGTATGGCCGCGGGATGGCTAGAACTGCCGATCCAACCTATACTTACCGTCACTGAGATAATCTAGCCCTAGCCTAACCCACCGTAATCCGAACAGCGAAGGGGAAGCCGCGAAATCTTGTGTTGAGACTCGCCGCGCCGCACCGCGCCGGGGTTCACCTTCCTATCCACCCGGCGAAACGTGTTTTATCTTCAATTCGGTATACCGTTCTTGGCTCTCGAGCACTTTCGACGCAAGTGGCAACTTAGTTTAGCTTGTTAAATGACATTTAGACAACTCTATTTACCGCAATTTACAACAGCTTTTGTATTCGCTGCTGCTATCTAAGAGAGTGATTAGAGAGTGAAGAAGAAAAATTTTCCTAATTAATAAAAGAAAGTATTCGACATTCTATTTCTTCTCCATCAGAATTTTGCAACCTGCATGATCAAAATATACGTACATAAAATATAAACGTTCGATCAAAATAAGACACACATCTATTCTGAAACATAAAGCGATATTTATCAATCAAGTAGTTTTCCAACTAAACCGTTAACAACAAAGGATTCAATTAAGATTCTTCGGTTTCTTGATTATTATCAATAATATATAATATTGTCACAATAAATACAATACAACTCTTTGCCTCTTTGAAGCAAACGAGGTAATATTCTATCGTCTCAAGATTCACGGACGTCCTGTGCAAACCTGACAATGCTGCAATGGTCTGGGCTCGTGGGTGGTGTGGTATCCCATGGACGAAGACGGGCCTCGACCAATGGGATTGGAACGTGGGTGGTTGCGGTGGTGTGAGTTTTCTTCGCCGGCCGTGGGTTTGCGTGGGCTGCACGGTCCGCAGGATGCAGCATCTTTCAAAATGGTGGTCCCCCCGAGACCGCGGCTCTCTCGTGACCATCACGTTCTCGTGCCGCATGCACGCCATTTCACGAAATCGCAACAATACCCCGGAGTCCCACACGCGGGCGCACCACCGCGCTGCCATTTCTTTTTTTTTTTTTTTTGTACTTGCGCAACATTTTCTGAGTATCAAGATACTCACGCTAGAAAATGACTTCCACGAAGAAATTTCCGCTCTCTCGCCGACGTCGCGCGTAATCGATAGGCTCGCTCGCCGACGCCGTAGAAACGTTCCGATACAGTAGGCAAAAAAAAAAATATCAAGCGAGGTGTAAAAATGATCGGATAAGTTATATTGTTTTCTGGGAACGTGCCTGGCGTGGTGTGACGACCTTATCGATTACTGATCGTATGATTAACAGCGAGTAAAAATTGCAACCGCAACACGGTATGCTAGGAATGCTTCTAATATTGCACGTAACTGGTTTATATGTGCAGGTGTTCACTGAATATTTACTATACTTATCACATTATTGTGGAGTTATGATGTAATAAATAATCTTAATAAATATGAAATTATAGTAATGTATATAATGTATAATGTATAACAAACAAGCAAAAATAATAAACTCGTTTTCATGTACATTTATTGATCATAATTGTTATAAAATTATAAATATATATATATGTACAACATAGCATTATATATAACATTTATTATTAAATTCTTCTCTGTTATAACCATAAACTTTTGTTTGGCTACACTATATCAGTGATGGCACCGCAAATTCAAGTGTGTTATTTTTACACGTATACACGTTTAAAAATGACACATTAGACTAAAACTCTTTTTACATGTTTCTTTTTATGTTAAATCACGTCATTTAACACGTTTAATCGTATTAAATTAAAAGTTAATACGTTCAATCGTGTTAAATAACATGATTTAAAACGGCAAGAAATGTGTAAAAAAAGAGCTTCAGCTAAAATAACACCCTTGGATTTGCAGTGAGAGGTAAAAATAACAGGTACATACCTTGCAAGTAATTAAAGTTGTTTTGGTCAAGAATCTACTTTTATCAAGGCACCAAAAAGGTGTCAAAAAATATTCAAATCTTGCGCGGAATAATTGATCATCGTGACGGACGGTAGAAAACATCGGACATGACGGACGACAAAAATTTCGAGGGGAGCATCTAAGAGTTAAGGCAATTAAACAAGATCATCCGTGACCGGCGTTCCTGCGTGACCACCCCGCAGCGAAATATTTCGCTCGGTCTTGAAACAGGTTTCCGAGAATTTTTCTTGAATTTTAATTGCGGCTTACACGTATCGTATAGGTAGGCATGGGGGGATAGGGCTCGTATAGATACGCTTGCTATCGAGTGCGATCGTGATGTAATATGTACGCCGTGTGTAATGGGCGTGTCGAGATTAAACCGGACCGCCGGCGCCATTCCGGGTTCGCGCTCTAAAAAATCATTTTTTTTCCTCCCCGCTGACGCACGTATCTCCGCTATTTTCATGTAACACGCGAGAACATTGCGAAATGCGCAAAAATTTTGCGCGTAAATAAACGGTTATGGATTTGCGCTTATCCCGCACACCTTGAGACGTTAAAAGATTACATTTGCAGAGATGCAGTCTGCGCCAGAAAGAAAAATGACAGTTTCTGAAACTGTCAATAAACAACGAAGATAAAGCTGAACAGTTTCATGACTGACTTTGTGTTACGTTAAGATAATTTAAAATCTTGAGGTGCGAAGCTACCCCTACATTATTTTATTAATATTTGTTCTGCCTATTAGAGTCATTAATCGCATGATGGCATAAGCTCGGAATATTAATATGCTTTTCGAGTGCGTAACATTATGCAATTAATAATCCTGTAATTATTCGCGTTTTTCTTCATCATTTTGCGATGGAAACTGGTAATCCGGAATTTGATTAATAGTCCGACACTTATTATATAGAGGAGAAATTTGCATATTATTCGATTAATTATGCAGCCGTCACTTTTGCAAAAAGCTCTTCCGAGAATAATCTTCTAGCTGCGGTCGTCTTAACAAGACTTGTTACAGATCCTTTTAGTCTTCCTCGCGCGGGACAAATCTGGAAACAAATAAAATTAATCGCGACTGATTTATGTCTCGAGTTTCGTAATTTATCGCGTCATTCTCAGCAGGCAGCAAATTCGATCAGATATGTCAGCATTGTCGTTCGCTTGGCGTGTTTCTAATTTAATCGCAATTCACAGGTCGCCCATTTTATTCGATTATTTTCGGCGTTATTACCTTTACATGGAGTTCGAATGAAGTCGTGACATCGATAAGCCGCCGCGGGTTTCCGCCGCTGCATGCTTGTAAAAAAGGCAACTTTGCATGATCACTGATAAAAATACAACCGCGGGCTTCCTTCGCGCTCGCTAGATTACAATCGACCGAGGTAGTCGTGACTAGCGGCACTATCATTCGGGCTTCCCGCGGAAGCCAACTAATATCACGACATTTTCGAGCAAGGTCTCTCACCGATATCGGTACCGTCAAAACCATCGCAAATTTTGCAACTTTCCAAATTTAAATTTAACAAAATCCTGCTAAGACTCACGTGCCACTGCGTTATCACTGTTATGTTAATACAGTACTTGCCATCACACGTTTATCTAGAATTATGCTATCGCTACAACTTCGTCGAATTTAAATTATAGCTCGTTAACGTACTTTCCTGTACATTTTGATAAGTTAAACAAGCGCTAAATGATGAATGAGTTTAAATAGTCAATTAATCAATCATTTTAATGCCACAACTTTCTTATTGCGTTTCCGATCCCTCAAGATTTCAGAAATTAAGCTCGAGCTTAAGTTTAATAAAAATAAAGGTAGCTATAATAAATACGAATTGGATCAATAACTTTCAGTTTTATTTATATAAAAGTATATATTTTATAATTATGCTTCTTTCACAGCAAGTCCTTCTTATAATACGGACACTTTACAATCGTAATACCGATGCAAATCCTATTCTTTCATGCTACTAGAATTCAAGCAAAGTGATCGTGACTAGTGGCACTATTGCTGAAACGTCCTGTAGAAAGACTGGCTAATACCTCTGGGTTCTCAGGCAAGGTCTTCTCCATGTCGGTTCCTTGGAAACAATTACGCCTCGTGGGTTATAATAACGAACCGTTCCTCTAGAATCGTACGTACATATGTATACGTGCCGTGCGCACAAACGCACATGTACATACGAGCGTAGATGAGCTGCGCTTTTATCGCGAGCGTGAGCATCAAGTGCGTACTACGAAGACGGATGGCCTCGTAAATCTATTGGCAGCGCGCATTCTCTCGTTTTCGCATTCTACTTTCTTCTTTTCTAACACGGCGCGAGGGCAACTTCTAAAGCCAACTCGACTCGAGATTTATCGCCTAATGTCAAAATGCCGATGGCGAACTAAATCGCTCTAGAAAGGCATCATTGCTATTCGAGTTTCTCAGTGCTATTCAAAACGATAAAATAATATATGTATACTCTATTCGTAGCAAAAGAGATTAATATTAATTGCAGACAATGATAGCAGCAAGATGTACACAAAATAAACGGAACGCACAAGTAGCCTAACACTTCAATTTAAATTAGCAAATAAATATTAGAATCTCATGATTAGTACAATAAATTTTTAGAAATATTACGAAGGCATCCTTAAGCCAAAAACAATGGTCGAGAGCGATTGTCATCGAAACGACAATGTCACTTTTGTTCCGTCAAGCGTTTTTATTGCATATCGTTTGCATGATATTAACTAAGAAGAATCTGTCGTCTTAGCATAAGCGTAGTTAGTAAAGCAGCTAATTCCTGTATAAGTTAAAGGGTTAAGTCTTACGTCCCAGTGTCGATTTAACGATGCACTGCAAGCTGAGACTGTCTTGTTATTTATATCGTATGTCATATGTACTTATTTATAATTGACAGACAATACGGGCATTACTAAAGCCGTTTCGGATGCATTATTCGTGACACTGACTACGTTTACATGGCGGCTTGTAATCCGGTTTAATAACTACCGTTTAATACAATACTATCCGATTCAAGATTTTTCTTCTTTTGATCATAAATGATCATTTATAAATATGAGATTTTTCGATATTTAAACTACAACTTTTAGTATACAATATATATCAAAGATTGTTTCAAATGTTTAAAGTATCAAAATAGGTTCATATTTAAATGATCATTATAATCAAAAAAAGAAAAATTTTGGATCGGATACGGTATTTGGTATATTGGAGTATACGGTAGTTACTAAACCGATTACAAGCCGCCGTGTAAACGTAGTCATTTAGCTGACCGTTCTTTTTCTTCGTACAAATTTCAGTCACCAAACGATTGTAATTTGCCTTGTGTCATTTTACGCTTTCCTACTTAATGCCTCGCCATGAATAACAAACGGATCGTTGCCAATCGTTGCGCGACGATGATGTATTATTAGCGTAATGGTGCGGGCCAGCTGTCAAAAAGTAACGAACGCGCATCTCTTGCCCCTTTTCGAGAATGACGAAATTGATAGAATTGCGTTCCTGTGATGGTATACCTGTCGCATGCCATGTGTGAAGCGGGCATGGCATCGCATGCTAGCGACAATTTTCGGAAAACGCCACGGATAGGCCCTTCTCGTAGTTCTTCCTCGCCACCCTAAAAGATAATCGTGCAAATGTTGATCAGCGCTGCATCTGACAAACCCATTGTTAGAAACAAGCGAAAGATGGATATAAAATATTCAAACCAGAGTAGTCTTTTTTCAATGTAATATTAAGAAAATATTATAAATAGATACCTTATTTATTATTCATACATAATTAATTATTAATTATATCTTAGGCTGTCAATTTGTTAAATATATCGATTTCATTTCGTTTAATGTACTTTACAATAGAAGCATCTCACAATCAGTCCTCTCCCTATCTTGCTTTTCTATGGCTCTCTCACGGGGCCCAAACGCATTCTTGTCCATCGCATTTCGACCCCCATATTTTCGCGAACACACGTTCCCTTAGAATCTTCACGTCGACAGTGGAGAAATAAATCCTCCCTCTCGCTTCTCAGCTCGCTTTCTCAAGCTGACACTCGCGAATTAACAGATCGCACAGTGGCAATTAAACCCCCCAAAAAGGATTCGAACACTTCGTGCCACGACGGTTCCCATGGTTGCGCTATGGTGTCGGTGTGCGGGAAGAGAACGGCGGGCGGTAATAAAAGAACACGAGCGAGATGCTCGCGAGGGGGATGAGGCACAAGTATCGTCGACAACCCTGGCATGATGCGCACGAGAAAGATCCCCTGCGTTGCGGCGGAGTCGTGAGACCGCAGTAAAAAAAGAAATGGAAACCGAGAGAGGAAGAAACGGCGGTGGACCCCGGCGTGGATGCTGCGTCGGTACGCAGAGGGCAATATTTACGAGAGGGGTTGGGTTCTGCGAGTCGGGTTCAGCCACAGAACGTAATTGCACCGGCTGGGGTACCCTGATTTATTGGGTTATTACCGATCTCGGCGCAAGAAGAACGCGTGGTGTATGGGCTGCCTCGCCCGCGACCTGGTCCTCCGAGATCTAACAAAATGGCGGAGAAGAATATTGTTAAATGTACGCATATTCTACGAACGTAGTCACAACGGCAACATAAAGAATTGATGGAAGCTTGCTTAAAAATCTATAAGAGACTCGCGCAAAGAAATTGCAACACTTGTTCAAAATATTAAATATATACATATAGTCGTATAAATTTCATGTTACTAAAAGTAAAAGTGACAAGAGATTAATGAACCGTATTTCAACGCGCAAATAAAAATCATAGCAAAAAGAAGCACCAATTGACCGCGCTGCTTATATCTTTATAATTCGTAGCGAGACGCCAGTTAAGTGATCAAAATTACACGGCCATTAAACCACAATGTGACATTTATTACTTTCGAATAAATACCGTATCATTTAACTGTCAATAATTCTGTGTCTTCTTCGATCAAGCGCTATGTATTTTTCGTGTTTAGTCTCCAGTTAGTTAAACTATATAATAATGGTCATTGAACTGCAAATAAAACATGTAATGACACGACAAATCACGATGTCTATATGCAAATTGTACCATGTAATGTAAACGGTAAAATACTATAAAATGTACTATGAGACGTAAATACAATCATGTTTCTCACATGTAATCATAAGTTGACCTTAGGTAACTTAGACTTAGACAGATAATAAATGATTATTATGTTTCCTTTTTCTTCATACTTTATATACGAGCAGTATATGTTGATATAGTGAACAATAATAACGAGTTACAAAATGCCTTCTTTTCACATGCCTATTCCATCAGCTCGCCGCGTGCAGCAGCGTCTCGAAAGGACTGGATCAGCGTGTAAAAGAATGAAACAAAGTGCGCTGCGTCTACCTAACATCAAATCTCGCATTGCGGCGCGTACGCCTTCGCTTTTACGCGTGGCAAATAAAACCAAGAGTCAGTCGACATCGAAATTATACGTATAGGTGGCATTGATGTATGGCCGAGCGGGTTTTGATAGACCCGACGGCCCTCGCGGCCGAGTTATAATCGCGCCGCGCATCGCATCGTTTTCTCGCCGAGCCGGAATCCTCCATTTTGAAACACACGCCGTGGTAACGTTAATGCCTGGTGTTTGTACCGTAGAAAGGATCAGCGCGGGATCATTGGATTTCAACTGCTCCTCAAAATCACAATTATTATTTCCTGTGAATATTGCGCGCGAGTTCTTTAATTGCATATTTTTCATTGAGTATTGAGCTTATTCATTCTATTTTACCTTAAGTTAACTAAGGTCAACTTATATAATGTATGAAACGCTTATTTCAATAAGAATAGATTAATATAATTCATTCGATATCTATACAATTAAGGTACGAATTTTCGTATTTTATCATCTTATTTACTCTTTGGCATAAGAATTATGTATTAATATTGGTAAACCATATTTAATTCTACAGCACGATAGCTAGATTTGAATCTTTATCGTGATCCACAAAGTAACATACGAGCGTCATGTTTCGCGTGCCGTAAAACGATAGCCGTAAATATATAATTAATTAAGTGCTAGTTGATTACTTTCCTGGGATCGCTAATGAACAAAGGCCGCCGTCCAATTTGTTAATAGGCGTTCTTATAGATTTCCGTTTAATCGCTGAAAACATTCTCCTGCAAATGTTTTGCACAAATATGACTTTATTCGATTCATATTTTTAGCTTCATTTAACTGATATTGGGCTTAGGTAATTATATATAACGATACGCGTAAATCAAATTGGAACATTCTAATCCGTTTGCGTGATGTAAGAAATGATTTTTTCGAAGGCGTCGCCGATTCGCGAATTCCGAAATAAAGCTTTGCTTTTTGCCGGCGTGCCCAGCACGACCGAGTATGGGGAATGGGTAGAAGCAACCTCGGCCTCAGGATATAAATCTTCCGCTGACAGATGCACCGCCCTCGACGTTCTGCATCGACCAACCAACCGACCAGAATTTCTAAGGGTTACGCCCTGAAAAACCCAGACTCGCCTTGGATGCCTATTGCATTTGCATGTCATTTCGAAGAAAACTATATCCCGCGAATAAATCTGTAAGAATGAAGGAGAAGCTCAATAAAACCGTCCGATGTATACGGTCCTTTTAATCACTCTTTCTCGATGAAGCTCGTTGTCTTTCTTACGTATATACGATGCACAAGCGTGATATATCTGATTTGACATTTCTATTCTTTGATCCACGTAGTATCGGAATTCATATCTTTAGTGCAAAATTGTTGAAATTCGGATTTATATTTAATTAAAATTTAATTAGGATAAAATTTGATAAAAAATTAAAGATGCATTTTGTGTATTTAATTGTGCGGATGAACCGCGTATGTACATGCAGTGCTTCTACAAAGAACGCGATAAAGTGCCACGATGGTGAATAATTGGCAAGCAATTCCACGATGCGGCGAGTTCTACGAATTTTTGATGGGATTAATAAAATGAACGTGGGCATGGGAGGAAGTTAACCTCGAGAACGACGTGTGTCGCGTGATTCGTGAATTCCCCGCGGTTGGTTCTAGCCTTCGTTGTACTTGCATTCGTGACGATTCGCGCCGTCGGCGAGTACGTATAGCATGCGTTCCCGTACGCAACGATAGATCGTCTTCGCACGTGTATGCGCCTTCGGCTACATATATACATCAACACACGTGTGACGAGTTTTCCTCCCTCGAGGATACGCGGACGCTAGCCTGTCACGCGATTCTTCTGCAAGAATTGCATCGAATCCCGCTGTTGCTTCGAGGACTTGAGAAATTTCAAAAAGCTGTTGTTCCAGAAAACGTATCACCGTTTTTTATTAAGGTTTGAGACATTCAAATTAAAGTAGTTGATCCTTTAATAATATTTAAACGTATATTAAAAATAATAAAATATTTATGTTGAGTGTGTAAACTTAATGGAGTAAAAGGCAGTGTGAATTGCACATGATAGTTGATTATTTTAAATATTCAGAAATTTATAGTTATTGTAATTTTAATACGCGGAAGGCGATTGCTGAAAATCTAAATAATATAGTAGTGAAGATTACTATTTATGTGAAGAAATATACAAAAAGTTAATCGGCGTAGATTCTATAACATGTTCTACAGGGATCGGGACATGTTATACTAACGGAGAATATCTTATCGTTGCGGACGTTCTTTCCGCACTAATAGTGCGGAATCTCGTTCTTTCCTCGCCGCTCTCAGCACTACCATTGTACGACGCGGCAGAGATCGATGAATATTCACGAGGAGAACAAGCCCGATCGCTCTTCCTCGCGACGGCCCTGACTTATGTCTACTGTCGGATTTTTCATTATGCCGTCGTACTTGGCCTGAGATTTAATACGAACGTGAGGCTTCCTGAGAGCCTATCATAATTCTCTTCCCTCCAACTCCAACATGTACTTCTTACTGATATTACTCCATCCATTTTAAAGAGACGTTTACGATGTACTTTGTAATATCGATTTTGTAATCAAACGACTCAAAGGAATTTTTCAAAGATGTAGAATATATGCACGACTATATACAATATTTACATAGTAAAAGGCATCGTGTATCTCCTGCAGATTTTTTTAAGGCATTACAGATTTTTTAAATTCTTTAATTAATTCTTTAAATTAAATCTTTATGAAAAAAATTCCTTTAAAATTACATGTACAATAAAATTATATTATTCGCTGGCGTTCAGCTGGTGGTCAGGATTAACACGTAAAACACAATACGTGAAATTCAATTACGTTGCGTTCGCATCGAAGTTTCGTTCCCGCCATTTCGCAAAACGTTGTGAAATTTTCGTGCGGCTCACAGTCGTTCGGCGGGAGGACTTGAGGTCCAGCGTCGGGGCCCGGAGGTCGTGCATCACCAGAGTCTGGCAGGATAATAGCTCTCCCTTTCGAGGAGTCTTATTGTCGGACCATGCGTCAAGTGATTGATAGGCACCGAACCGTAGAGCGGAGCGCCACGATATTTCGAAAGCTGCACGCGCAGGGCAAGAAACGACGGCCGGAGAGCTCGTGATGCGAGGAACGCGCGCGGTACGCCTGCACGCGGAAACTCGCGTGAGAATCTCACTGTATTCCGGCCGAGTCCGCCCGCGGACTCGGATG